GGCTGGGGATGTGGTTCAAGCGGTAGCGTGCTCACCTGGCATGCATGGGGCGCTGGGTTCGATCCTCAGTGCCCTGCGCATGCCAGGTGAGTGCACTATCGCTAAAAAAAAAAAATCTCTCTCTCTCTCTCTCTCTAAAAAAAAAAAGTAAAATTATCTCTGTTCACACTTGATATAATTCATATGTTGAAATTCTAAAGATTCCATTAAAAATCTGTTAGAATAAACACATTTAGCAACATAGCAGGCTATAAAGTCACCACAAAAATTAGTTGTACTTCAAAACATACTACTAAACTACAAAAGTATTATTAGAATTAACCAAAGAAGTTATACAAAGACTTACATAATGAAAACAACAAAACATTACTGAAAGAAACCTGAGATGATAATAAATGGAAACACATTCCATGTTCATGGATTAGAAGACTTAATATTGTTAAAGTGTCATTATTATCCAAAGTGATCTATAGATTCAATGCAATTCCTATTAAAATCCAAAAGCATTTTTTGTAGAAACAGAAAAATTCATTCTAAAATTCATATGGAACCTCAAGGGACMCCCAAAAGCCAAAACAATTCTGAGAAAGAACAAAAAAGCAAGAGGACTTCAAAACATACTACAAAACTACAATAACCCAAACAGTATGGTGCTGGCATAAAGACAGACATATAGACATGCCTGTAATTGCAGTAACTAGGGAGACTGAGGCAGGAGGATTGCAAGTTTGAGACCAGTCTAAGCAACTTAGTGAGACTCTGCTCAAAATAAAAAAGAGCTCAGTATGTAGGTGAATGACAAAGAGCCCGTGGGTTCAATCTCCAATACATCCCCCTCAAAAAAAGACAAACACACAGACTATGAAATAGGGAAGACTGGAAATAAACCTTACATTTATGTTTGAGTGATGTTTGTTTGTTTMTTGGTTTGTTGATTTATTTTGGTACTGGGGAGTGAACCCAGGGGCACTGGGGAATGAACCCACTAAGCCACATTCTCAGATCTTTTTTATTCTAAGACACAGTCTTGCTAAATTGCTGAAGGCCTTGTTGCTAAGTTGCTGAGGCTATCTTTSAAACTGAGGGTTCTCCTACCTCAGCTTCCTGAGTCACTGGGATTACAGGTGTGCACCACCACACCCAGCTGTTTGAGTGATTTTTTAATAGACCTTTATTTTATTTTATATGTGATCCTGAGACTTGAACCCAGGGCTGCACATGTCCTAGGCAAGTGCTCTACCACTGAGCCACATCTCCAGCCCTGTATGAATGATTTTTGACAAGGGTACCAAGTCTACTCAATAGAAAAAATAATCTCTTCATAAACAGCTAGTAAAATTGAATATCCATATGTAAAATAATTAAGTCAGACTAACATCATACACAAAAATTAATTCAAATAGATCAAATACTTAAATGTAAGTCTTAAAAACAAAAAAACTGAAGAGACAAGGAAAAGACTTTATGACATTTGATTTAGCAACRATTTCCTGCATATGATACCAAAGGCACAAACTACAAAAGAAAAAATAAACAAATTAGACTTCAAGAAATTTAAAACCTTTTGCTCATCAAAAGATTCTGTCAGCAAAATAAAAAGGAAACACAGAACTGAAGAAATGTTCAGAAATTTGATAAGGGGTTCTTTCTTCTTTAGACACATGTAAATGATGTTACCCTTAACTGAATTAATAGATTCCTCCAAGTAACTCATATACAAAATATCTCATATACAAAATAGAACAATAATTTTTTCAGTAATTGCAGAAAAAATTGAAAATGTTACCTCATTTGAAGAATTTGACACAGGAACAATTTCATCTGAGTTTACATAATTACTGATATTTGGAAAGAGTTCTTCAAAAGGTGCCTTTTGTACTGAAGACAAATTAATCTATAAAAGATTATGTTACTGTTTCAGAGAGGTTTCAAAAAATTATTTCTAAGCAATTAAAATAAAGTTATAAATACCATCTTATTGGAAGCATTTTCTTATGAACTTGACAAATGAACAATTTTATCTGAATGAATATAATTACCAACTTTTGGCACGCTTAAGATTATGTTACTCTTTTGATTTAAACTTATTTTCAAACAAGAATCTTTATTTGCTATACTATACTTTTCCCCATTAATTTGTTCAATAAATATTCATCAAATCCTTACTAAGTGAAATTTGATGACCTGGCAACAGTACCTTATGGACACTTCTACWCCTAGGTATAAATACCAAAGAGAAATAAAAAGATGTCCACACAAAAGCTTTTACACAAGTATTTATAAAAACATTATTTATAATAGTCATAGATGGAAACAACTAAAAACTAAAACTTCCATTGACACAATTTTTATCAAYACAATGGAATATTACTCAGTCAGGAAAAGGAATGAAATACTAAAACATGCTGGTATATGGATGAAACCTAAAAATATTATGCTTACAAAAGATAATATATAATTCCATTTATATGAAATGTCCAGAACAAGGAAACCTACAAATACAGAGGGCAGAGAAATGGTGTGGGAAAGCAAGGGGATGCTACGTAAAGGAAATGAGGTGTCTTTTTTGAGGTGATAAAAAATGTTCTAAAAGTGACTGTGGGAATGATAGCACATATCTATACATATACTAAAATCTACTGAATAACAAATTTWAAAAAAATATTTACTTTTTAGTTATAGGTGGACACCATATCTTTATTTTATATTTATGTGGTGCTGAGGATCGAGCCCAGTGCCTCACGCATGCTAGGCGAGCGCTCTACCTCTGAGCCACAATCCTAGCCCTGAATAACACATTTTAAATAAGTGAATTGTAGTTTGTGCATTATTGCTCAAACTGATTTTCTTAAATATTTTTTAGTTGTAGTTGGACATAATACCTTTATTTATTTATTTATTTTTTAATGTGGTGCTGAGGATCAAACCCAGTGCCTCGCATGTGATAGGCAAGCACTATACTGCTGAGATACAATCCCAGCCCCTGCTTTTTTAAAGAGCCCACTAAATAAAGTGTTAAACATACAGTTATCATATGAGCTAGCAATTCTACGACTTCCAGATATATACTCAACACAAATGAAAACATAYACTCATAAAACATACATAAATGTTCAGTATTATTCATGATAGATAATAAGTTAAAATAACCCAAATGCCCATAAACTAAAGGGAAAGATGGGGGAATAAGGAGTAACTGCTAAAATGTGGTAATAAAATGAATTACATTGAATTATATTATAGGGATGGTTGTATCACAACTATGCTTAAAAACACAATTATATACATTATAGCATGGTAAATTTCATAAAATGTGAACTATAGTTTTTAAAGATTTTGGCATTTATAAAATTGACACTAACTTAGTTTTATAAGGAAAATTCATTTTGGGTACATTTATTCCTCATCTACAAATTCTCTCTCTCCCTCCCCCTGTTCCTCTCTCTCTCTTTCTCGTTGATACTGGGGATCTAACCCAGGTGTACTTTACCACTAAGCTGTATTCCCAGCCCTTTTTAAATTTTTTTTATTTTGAGACAGGGTCTCACTAAGTTGCTAAGGCTGGCCTTGAACTCTGCAATCCTTCTGTCTCAGCTTCCCAAGTCACTAGGATTACAGGAGTGCGCCACCATGCCTGGCTCACATACACATTTTTTTTTAAGTTGTAGATGGATACAATACCTTTATTTTATTTATTTTTATATGGTGTTGAGGATCTCACCCAGTGCCTCACACATGGTAGGCAAGTACTTTATCACTGAATATCAACCAAGAATAAATTTTAGAAATAAAACACTCATTTTCTGAAAAACAAATTACTTTTTAGAACATTAGAAAAACTGTGAGCAGAGTATTATCAAAACCCTTTCCTCTAGCATGATCTTTAACTATGTTCCCCTAGGAGCCTGTTAAGAGTAAGAATGTCAACTCTGTTACTAGGCAGCATTACTTATGGTAAAAATGATATCTGATCATGAACTTGTATGTCTGGGACAAACTACAGATGCAGTACGAATAATAAATACTATAAAAGATGCCATGGGTTTTTCTGGGAGCTGCAACTCTTATAATTAGGCATATCTCTGTGGAGACCTGAGAAGCTACCTATGTATTTTGTTATAAAAGATACTGTCTCATTCCCTTGACCAGAGCTGTCCCCATACTGCTATATAAACTGCTACATCAAATTTTTGGTGGTTATTTTACTATTGAAGATTKAACTCAGGGGCACTAAACCACTGAGCCACATCCCCAGCATTTGTTTTTTCTTTGTATTTTATTTAGAGACAGGGTCTCACTGAGTTACTTAGTGCCTTGCTAAGTTGCTAAGGCTGGCTTTGAACTTGCAATCCTACTGCCTTAGCTTCCCAAGCCATTGGGATTAAAGACGTATGCCACCACTCCCAGCTTTACTCAGACTTTGGTTAGGACTGCTACCATTGTGGAGAAACACCTGCTGCTGCCCTGCTAGCAAGCTGTATTTCTTT